TAGCATGTGCACCAAGCATATGCACACTAAATGAATGTAATTTTATTTGTTTGTTTATTTGGTTTTTTTTTTTTTTGAAACAGGGTTTCTCTGTTTAACCTTGGCTTTTCTGGAACTCACTCTGTAGGTCAGGCTGGCTTCGAACTCACAGAGTTCCACCTGCCTCTGCCTCCCAAGCGTTGGGATTAAAGGTGTGTGCTACCACTGCCTAACTTTAATTTTTTAATTAGTTAACAAATTATGCAAAACCCTAAAACACATATTTGCTATCTTATCAGGCAATCCTACTCCTAGAAATTAATAATATTGAAGATAGTATTTTGTAAAAAATCATTACTTTTCTGTAACAACACTGATATTCTACCAGATTATCAGAATATTAAAAATATATTTTAAAATTAATATTCACTGTATATATGTATATGTGTGTGTGCTGGTAGTGGTAGGGTTAGAACTCAGGACTTTCCACGAGGCAGGCAGGTGCTCTACCAGTTTTGAAGCCTCACTTTATTTCTTAAAGCACTTTTAAGTTTACTTAAAATCTGAGCAGAAAATAAATGCTCCCACATACACTCTCTCTACTATCACCACTCCTGCTTGTCTTATAAACACCTTACATTGGCCCAGCACATTTGCTATAACTAAAGAACCATTATTAGCACACTGATAGTAACTAAAGCCTGTGGTTCACTTTAGGACTCATTCTTAGTTCTGTGTGCAGTGATGCATATGTAGGGCCACACATCCACCATCATAGTATCATACAGAATAGTTTCATTGCCCTAAAAATCCTTTGCTTTAGGTGCTTCTTTTATCCTCCCCTTACCCCATTTATCTTTGTACTGGCTCTATAGTCTTATATTTCCATAATATCATAGTTGATATCATAAAATACATAGCCTTTTCAGATGGGCTTCTTGTATTTAGCAATATGCACTTAGGGTTCTTTATTGGCTCTTCATGCTTTGATGGCATATTTCCTTGGATTTTGTAGTTTTTGTCCTTGCAGGCCTAAGGACACAACCCAGGCCTTGCCCATGCTAGGCAAGTGCTCTAGCACTGAGCTACATCCCAGCCTACTTGTTTCTATGTGTCACCAGATATAAATATTCCATGTGTGGAATATTCCAATACCACAGTTCATTTATCCATTCAACTACTGAAAAGCATCTTCTTGTTTTAAATTTAAGCAATTAGGAATAAAAGTGCTACAGATGTGTGTGCAGGGTTTATTGTTGTTGTTGTTGTTTTTGTTGTTGTTTTATGTGACTAGAAGTTTTCAACTCATTAGGGTAAATACTTAGGAGCACAATTTCTGTAACCTATCTATGGTCAGACTAAATTAACTTCATAAGAAACTGCCAAAGTGTCTTCCAAAGTAGCTATACCATTTTCTGTACCATTTGGTCTTGAATTTTCACTATTCTTGCAGGGGGTGGGGGGGGGGCAATGGAACCCAGTTTGATTTGGTTTGATTTGACACTGAGCATCCTTTCACAGTGGATTTACCATAGTCTATTTTCTCTAATTGAGTTCTCTTCAGACCTCCAGTCTACTTTTAATTGGGTTGCTTTCACTCCACCCCTCCCTTTTTAGCCCCACCCATCCCCCAGCTATTTAGCCAGGCTGGCCTTGAACTGGATGTCGTCCTGCTTTAGCTTCCCAAGCCCAGGATTACAGGTAAATGACTACACCCAGCTAGGGTTGTTTTCTCAGGGTTGACTTCTAAAGTTCTTAATATATCTTAAACTGTGGTCTTCATCAGGTTGGGAAAAGCATTCCAAAACACACCTGTCTGTGCATTCTCTCTCTCTCTCTCTCTCTCTCTCTCTCTCTCTCATATCTCTCTCTCTCCCTTCCTTCTTTTTTTTTGAGACAGGGTTTCTCTGTGAAGCCCTGGAACTCGCTCTGTAGACCAGGCTAGCCTCAAATCACAGAGATCCACCTGCCTCTGTCTCCTGAGTGCTGTGATTAAAGGCATGCACCACCACTGTCTATATCACTTTCTTAACAATGTCTTTCAAAGTACAACTTTTATTTTAATGAAGTTCAGTTTGCCAATCATCTCCTCATGGATCTACCTAAACCTTCCTTAATGTATACCCAAAGGCAGAATTATTTTTAATGACCAAAAAATTTTTACAACTACATGGTGGCCAGTTGGAGTTATTTTAAAGAAACTCTGTCTTTAAAAATAACATTATTTTTAAAGCAAATACCACAAATTCAGCCAATTTCCTAGGACCTAAATTTAAAAAACAAAAAGGTAAAGTTCATAGCTTCCTCAGCTAGTTTTCAAAACAGCGTTTATAAAAAAGAAAACAAGTTAATGACTATTAATGCATATGCCTTTATTTCGCTTTTTTCTAAAGTAAAATAAGACAGACTAGAATCTCCTGTTGACCTAGATAGATTTAACTGTCAACTGTCACAGCAAGGAGACACCTGAGGAGGGAGTCTCAGTTGAGGGACTGCTCAGATCAGATGGGCCTGTGGACTTGTCTGAAGGGGACTGGTGAAGGAGGGCCTAACACCCTGTAGGCAACAACCTTCCCTGAAGGTGCTCCTGCATTGTATAAGAAAGCTAGCTAAGCATGAGTCTATGAGTGAGACAGCAAATAGTGTTCCTCCACAGTCTCTGTGTTAAATTCTTGCTTGAGTTCTGCCTAACCTCTGTCAATAATAGATTGTGACCTAGAAGTGTAAGGCAACTAAACCCTTTCCTCCCCTAAGGAACTTTTTGGTCAGAGTATTGTGTCACAGTTCAGAATGGAAACTAGAACACATAGAAGCTGGTATCCAAATAGTATGTTGCTCACCACACTTGGGTTTCTTTTTAAAAATTCAAAAGAAAAAAAATAAGTCACTTTTAAAATGCAAATTTTTTACCATATAAAATCTTTATTACCCACTAAATTATACAAGATGTGTATATATAGCTAGGTCAAACATGAATAATACATGTAAATGAAAAACAAAATATCTTCTATATGACATATTACACATAATTAAAACAAATTTATCCTAGAAATAGTAAAGAAGTATTTTTGCATTAGTTCATAAGAAACTAGCTAAACATTGATTCTTCAAGTTTCTTAAATTTGTATTAACATGTTTTCCCAAGTGAGTTCCAACAACAAACTCACAAAAATTCATACCAAGAATTCAAAGGTTCATATCAAGTTTTTCTCACTAGTTTAAAGAAAATTACATACCTTAGTATTATTGATCTCCATTCCAATTGCTTAATATTTGGGTATTTATTGTGATCACTTATTTCAAAAATATTTGTTAAATAAAAAGGGCATAAAGCTGAATTTACAGTTTTCTCATAATGAAATAAAAACTGTCACACTAAATAGCACTGAAATGTTACTAGTTTTCATCAAGTAGTAAAATAAAGGTTACTGCTTTTTTATTGATCTACTTTATAAATTTTATTCATGAATTATTTTATTTCTGTAATTAAGAAAAAGATAAAATGTACCAAACCCTGCAATTGAAAGTTAACTTCCTGAGCCTCAAGCAATACTAAACAGGTTTATAAAAACTTGATCTGACAACAGTTGCCTGAAACAATAGCTACAAAAAAACACCTTGTACTCCATCAAGTACAGTGGCACTGTTTATTGGCACTTAAGTGACAGTTCTGCAAGCTTCTCTCCACACAGTTCACAATCCTGGTGCCTCAACTAGATAATGCTAGTTGTGGTTTTACTGTTCCTTAGGGAAAATTATCTCTGGAAACTAAATTCTTAATCCCAATTTTTCACCTCTTTTATTTTAAAGTTGTTAACTCATATCTGAATTTTAAGTATACAGAAGTATATATCTTGAAATATAGTAAAAATCATGGTTGTTTAGCCACTGGACTACTATTCTGAAGACTATTCAGGGAAGAAGAAAACTTACAATGAAAAAGACAAACTTGCCAGGCAGTGGTGGCTCACACCTTTAATCCCAGCACTCAGGAGGCAGAGGTAGCTAGATCTCTGTGAGTTCGAGGCCAGCCTGGTCTACAGAACAGGTGCCAGGACTGTTACACAGAGAAATCCTGTCTCAAAAAACCAAAAACAAAACAAAACAATGAAAAAAAAAAAAAACAGGAAAGAAAAGCCAGCCAATCCTGCTGGAGGACAAGGCTGCTGAGCTGACTGGAACTCTAAAAGTTTAGACACACCCAAGGAGCTGCTGAGCTGACAAGACCCAAGAGGACACTGGAGAAATACACAGTAGGCCCTCGGCACTCTAAGACATACAAGAAGATAAGTCTTAGCTCTGTTCCTTTTCTTCTATTTCCAAGTCTTATAAAAATATATGTGCCTGAAATCCCAGGACTTAGTAAATAGAAGCAGAAGGACTAGAAGTCTCAGACCAGCATGGACTACATGGGACCTATTTCAGACAGACAAAGACAGATGGTGAGGCTTAGAAATCCAAACCAAGTGTAAAGCAAATAGGCACAACACTCCAAGTGGCAGTCTTAATTCAGTTTGTGAATGCTAACATTGGATGGAAGTTTCTAGTAACCTAAAACAGTAAAACCCAATACTCCAAGTTGGTGACCTCAAATATCACAACTTTAAAATAGTGATAGCCTTAGGCATTAAGACTTTACTTACAATCTTTATCTTTTCAAATTTAGAAAGTACATATTTTTGTGATCTCAATTGTCAGCCAATTGATGATAAAGCAAAATCTTGGTTTGGGCTTAGCCATGAAATCGCTTACTAGAGCTGAGCAGTAGCAGAGCAGTACCTCTTCATTTGTATCCTGAGAAGAGTTGGTACAATGACTTCAAGCTGTTTTAAGTAGCATACATCTTTGACTGGAAAATCACCATTCTCCAGGAATAAACAGTGGAACTCTTTCCTTCAGCAACCATTTTACATAGTAACACTAGTAAAGGTAGGGCTTGAATTTATCCCCACCCCAAAGCCATCACTTCATCCAACCTCCAGCACAACAAGCCACCACTACCTGCTTAGTAATTTACTTACAGAGGAAATGGGTAAGCCAAGCCCCACTATGACGAGCAAAATGGATCTGACGGTACTGTCATGGTATGGATACTTGATGCTGTTGTCAGTACAGAAAAAGCCTCTCTGAAATGGATATATTTGGCCCAAATTTAGAACAGCCATAGGCAGAGCAGCTGTTGGGGAAGGGAAAAAAAAGACACATATAATTACATTCAATTCACTTTTTTACGGAGGAGAGGGTATGGGAAGTAAATCTTAACTAAACTCTGTCCTCTCTGGAGAAAGATTGATACTCTCCAATACCAGTGGAAAGGTTAATGGGACTACATAACAACTGCACATTCAAAACTGATTCTCTTGTTTTCCCTGGCCTCTCATCTCAGGTACAATCAGAAAAGAAGCTACCAGGGAAAAGATCAAAATATGTCCACAGAAAAATAAAGCTGAGAATGCAGGCAAATTTTCTATTTTACATTCTATAATTAATTCTATTCAATTTAATAGCTTAGTATCCTAAATAAGTTTAAGGAAAAAGACAAACTAACATACATGAATTTAATAATAGCATAATATTTGAAGGATATGTAAGTAAAAATCTGTTTCACATTACAATAAAGTTCAAAGAAAACCTTTTAAGTATATTTGATAATAAAACTAGAAAGGAACAAACCCTTATTCCCCAAGACAAACAAAAAGTGGCTTTTACTGGTCTTGGCAGTACTTCAAAACTACTGTAACATGGCCCAGCATTAAACTTTAACATGCCTCAGCCTCCCAGGTATCTAGGTCTACAGGCACACACCATGTTACCTGGCTGGCAGTTTCTAAATATGTTCCAATTGACACTGATTCAGGTTTTGCTTTATACAATTCAAACACTGAAGTATCTGCTCACTCATTATATATGCAATACTAGGCTAGGCCAGGTACAGAAAACTAATTTGTGCAAACAGGTTCAAGATCTAGGCTGTATGTCTAAAAACAGAATGTACATTTGAGAGCTTGTTTAAAAAGAAATACCAACATAGACTTTTCTCAAGGGAGAGTAACAAAACTGTTCCCTATCTTGACTGTGATAGTAATTCTAGTAACTATCATTACTGCACACACATCCAAAAAGAAATAAAAAGCAGAGGTTACAAACAATGGAGCACAGGCAACAGGAGGCACAGGAGGGAGCAAAGGCAGCACCAGAGCTGCAGCAAGAGCAGAGGAAACCAGGAAGGGAACGTTTCGACCACACTACATGCTCACACATGCCAAGCACCGGGCTACACAGATGGACTCAATCCTTATCTCAGCTCTGTGAAGTAACTATCATTGGAGGCCACTGTTCACTACAGTTACTTATTGACGTTTAAGGAAGAGAAGAATGGTGCTGAAACTTCAAGTGGGGACATCCAGGATTCTAATACCAGCTACTCCCCCAATCAGTGTGCACATGTTCTCTATGGATACAAGTGATGCAGCTGCAGTAAAAAGTTAGAACTGTGTCGATGAAGACAGACTGGAGGCAGTGGGTCTGTCCTTTAAAAAAAATGCTTGTTCAGTAAAATATATCTGTTCATGATGAAACCTCACGGTTAGAAGAACATCTGTGATGCTAATTATCTCTGATTCTGCAAGTTTGAGGTTTTAATGACAGTATGAGGGCTCCAGGTTGTGTTTACTAAAGGGTTTTGAGTTTAAAATCTGGTCTATGAAAGAATTTATCTCATAGGAAATAAAAACCAGTTTTCTTTTGGTCAAAGTCAGTAACAGCAAAATAAGTATTTTAGAAGTTAACACCTAAAACAGTGAGAGAGGAAAAGGAAGTATTTAACACGTCTTTGAAATAATTCAGAAGTTGAGTGATAGTGTCAACTATCAAAACAGAAAGGACTAATGTTCTGAATATAGGAATGACACAACCTGAAGGCTGCACACAGCTGCTGAGGCAGACTTGAAGGTGACACTTTGGAGTAGAGAGACTGGTCACCCTATGACAGAAATGTGAATGAAGTTGTAAGGAGTTCATTCACGGTGAACATGTGTTAGCTCAGTATTGAGAGTTATTTATTGCCTTTGGGTTCACTCTCACTTCCTTATAGCTGTCAGCCTTGTCTTCCACTCCTCTCATAGCCCTTAAGGCTCCAATCACACTGAACTACTATGCTCTTGAAACCCTGGGTGTCTTCACATATTCTCAGTCCTCTATTGGTGAGAGCTGCCGGTTCCCTTCCCTTCAAGATAAGTTAGGGTGTCCCCTACCTGTCCCATGGCACTGTGAACAACTAACCTGCTTTCTTACACTCTTCCAGCAACTCTAGAAGCAGATACTATTTTTATTATTGTTGTACCTTTGAATCAGGTACAACATAGTTAGAGTGGAATAGAGATGTGTAAGCATTCAAAATAAAGAGGATAAAACAGTTCTCAAAGAAAGCATAAAGTAAGAATAATAGAGCAATCAGTCAAGAACTAATGGTCTTCATAAAAACATGAAAAGAGACTATAAAAGGAGGAAGGGTGGCTGATTATACACTCTAGAGGACAGGGAACATGTCTCTCTTGTGTAGCATGTACTGACCATTCTCTGAAAACATGAATGAACACTAGAAAAGGGCAGTGTTATACTACAAAAGCCAAAGCTTGAAGGGCCTTGTAGCTAGTTATCTAGGTAAGTGCGGGATGTCAAATGCCCACATTAAGGAGAATGAGAACTCAGTAAAGACAATGAGGTCTGAGGGGAAGGTCATTAACTCAACAATGTTCCTTTTTGAAAGTGGCTTTCTATTCTTTGACAGTTTTATACCTGTATTTAATGGGTTTTAGTCATCTCCACCTCTCATTTCCCTCACAGCATCCTCCTCCCACTGAAACCCTTCTTTTCAACATGAATTTAGGGAGCTGAGGCAGAAGAATCATAAGTTCAAGACAAACCTGGGTTTACACCATAAGACCCTATCTCAAAAATAAATATTCTTGTTGAGTGTGGAAGAGCACACATTTAATCCCAGCACACTGGAGGCAGGGTAGAAGGGTCTCTGTAAATTCAAGGCTAGCCTGGTCTATGTAGTGAATTCCAGGTAGGCCAAGATGATACAATGAGACCCTATCTCAAAATATAAACTTTTTAAAAGATCCTTTATTTGCTATAGGCTTTGTAATGGTAATATTCTAAGGGAGAAATGGAGAGTTGCATGTTCAAATCAGTGTTACAGAAGTATCTTCTGAAAACAAACTTTCAGGAAGCAAGCACATTCTTTCCTTAATATCTAAAGAATATAGATATGTGCAGGGAGAAATCCTGATTAGAGGTACTGCTGACCACGCCCGCTTGGGCCTGGGTCAGCGGTACCTGTGACCAGGCCCTACCGGGCATGGTCAACGGTACCTCTAATCAAGATTTCTCCCTACAGATATGCTTTTTAAGTTTTAAAAATTATTTGTTTTAACCAGGGTGGTGGTGGCACATGCCTTTAATCCCAGCACTTGGGAGGCAGAGACAAGTGGATCTCTGTGAGTTTGAGACCAGCCTGGTCTACAAGAGCTAGTTCTAGGAAAGGCTCCAAAGCTACACAGAGAAACCCTGTCTCAAAAAAATTATTTGTTTTATGTGTATGAGTATTTTGCCTGCATGTACATATGTGCACCACATATGTGTCTGGCACCTAAGAGGGTGCTGGATCCCCTGAAAATGGAGTTATGGATGGTTGTGAGCTACCATAGGGGTGATGGGAATCAAATCTGGGTCCTTTCCAAGAGCAACAAGTACTGAGTCATCTCTCCAGTCCCCACAGATATTATGATTGACACTAACAATAATTCTAGATACTTTTCTCCTCGTCAAAATTCCATACGAGAACTCATTTAAGAATTCTGTGATGCTCATCCATATGCTATTATTTGTCACAGTATAGATTTGTATAGCTCATGTGTACATTACTATCAGAAAGCAGGTCTTCACAGACTGCAGATGTATTTCCAGTGCATAGTCTCCCTTCTTCACTCAGCATAAGAGGCTGCACAGACAATCAACAACTCTCCCCCCTCTGCCTTCAGTTAGGTTTAGTCAGCAGGGATGGAGAAGCTGGCACTGGCAAGAGCCAGAGGATGGGAGCACAGAAATAGGCAGGTGTTTCTCTGGTTCCCTCTAGCAGGCTCACTATGGGTTTAATCTCTAATCTAGGATCACAGTTGCTATCCAGTCACCCCCTAAATCAGCTCCTTCTAGGGAGCTCCTAACTCAACCACTCCTTCTCTTCAAAACTTGGTTTTTAAAAAAAAAAAACTTCTGAAGCCCATGATAACCTTGTGTAACAACAAATGTATATCCTAAAAAGGTTTACATAATTTTCCTTTCTTAAAAGGTTCAAATTCAAACCAGGCATGGTGGCTTTTAATCCCAGAGGATTAATACCAGAGGCAGAGGCAAGCAGATCTGTGTGAGTTCGAGGCCAGCCTGATATACAGAGTGAGTTCCAGAACAGCCAGGGCTACAGAGAAACCCTGTCTCAATAAAAAAAGCATGTTCAAAAAAATCATAAAACAAAATAACAATGCAGCAAGGAATCTGAAATTCAAGAATAGGCTAGAGGTATGGCTCAGTTTCAGAAAACTTGCTGGGCATACATGAAATCCTGATTTAATTTCTAGCAATACCACATGTGCACATGTTCTCTCTCTCTCTCTCTCTCTCTCTCTCTCTCTCTCTCTCTCTCTCTCTCTCTCACACACACACACACACACAC